TATACAATTAAATATTAAATAATACCAATGATAGCATTTATGAAAACCGCATATGTATATGAATACAATATTGTCGGAGTCCGTAATATATGAAGCTCATGTTACGTATGGAAGCCTGCTGTAATCTTTCGGGTGAGCTCGGGCAAGGTCGTATTCCTTTGATTCCTCTATTACAACTATTATTGGTTACGACCTCTTATTTCTCCTTTAGTTAATTATAAAATTCATTCATACTTTATATTTACCTATTCTTTATATAATAATTAATTTTGAAATGGTTGATTGTTTCAAATAAAAAAAAACAAAGGTACTTAAGAGGAAGAAATATTGAAAATTAGCATTTAAGCCCTCCTAGAGAATAAACATCAAACATCAATGAGAATAAAATCTATATTACATTAAAATGATTAATTTTATTCTGACATAGTGAATTTAATTAAAATCGTTAGAGCCATTTTCGAGAAAATCGTAAAAAATTGTGAAATCGAATATATAAAGTGCCACTTACGGCTAGCCGATTTTTACGAGAACGTTGCTGTAACATTCTGTAACATACTAACCTTAAATATGCAATTTCACTTTCATAAGATCGTAATAATTTTCCTTACTATATATTTTATATATAGGTAAATGAAAGTAAATATATTTGTATATCATAAATATATTTTTTAGGCGTATGAAGAAATTCCCAATATCAGAAAAAATACGAATCATAATATTTTTATAATGTTTGTTTTACTCTTAGACATAACATTCATCCACTGGTAAACGTCAACTGTCAACTTATTCCAATGTGTGTTCCATGTACATTTAAGAAAAATGCTATTTTCACTATACATCTTGTTTCTTAACTTGTTTTCGGTTTTCATTTTTCCCGAAAATAGCACCTTCCAGTATGGCCTTGTTATTAATATCAAAATGTTTCGAGTTCGTTTTGAGAAACTTCTTAAAATCTGCTACAAATTTAACATTTATTTGGTATTTGGTTCGTGGTAGTTAAGTGAGACGGTATTTAGTATGTGACCTAGAATTTACGACATTCGCTGGCATGTGACCAGGTGATATTGTTGTACACCTGTTGTGCATATATTAGCTATTGTGTACTTAATCAGTATTATTTCTAACTTGGCTGCTCCATTATCTAGGTCGGTATTCAATTTATTGGAACATGTATAATATTTCTTGTTTGGTTATGATTGCCTATATAGAAAAAAATAAAAATAAACTGTCATTTGAAAAATAGATGAATAGTCATTTAATTATATTATTTCATACCAGACTGAAACGATAAGAAACCGCTCGACGTTTCCGATTACTTCATCATTTAATAGACAAACGCTCTAAACTTCCAATTAATTAAAAAAGAATCATATACATGACTATAATAAGGCCTATTTGGAATTACGGAATTGAGCTATGGGGCTCCACTAAACCATCGAATTCCTCTCGTATCCAACCCTTACAATCCAAAATCCTTAATGCTCCCTACTTTGTTACAAATAAAACCATCCATAATGACCTTAATGTTTCTTATGTTTCATATACCCAATCCAGATACCTATTCTTCCATAATAAACTTCAGAATCATCCCAACCTCTCGTTTCTTACCTTGCTTCCTCTTCAATTCCTGATAACCCTCCCTGGCGTCTGAAAAGAAGATGGCCCCGTGATCTCCTAATGTAGATATATCATTAGAGTGCTACCATTGGCTAGTTTATCAACAAGTGTTTTCAGGTCATCATATCCATATGTTCAAATTTACTATATTTATTTCTTTTATACAGTTGTAAATATCATTAAGAAATTTAAATATATATATATTATTTATGCTTACCGTAGGAAATGGAATATAATTTTTAAATCAATTGATGTTATTTTCTTTTCCATGTTTCAACATTTTATGTAGATGCTATGTTCCTGGCCTCGCGGTTCTACGGCGAGTAAGGGGTTCCAGGAACCGCATTTATTTGTATTTAATAATTATATTTGTATTCATATCGGTTCCAGAAGGGAACGGATCTACAGAAAAATATATTAATTAGGTATTTAAAGGTAAGATACCACAGACCCCTACTATAGTATCCTAGATTGAACCATATAATTTTTATTGGATTTCCTTTCTAAAGGTATCATGTTTTTAAATTTACTATTTGTTCAATATCTAACTGGTGGCATGCAAGGTAGATGGTAAAAGTGCTACGTTGGTTTACTAACTATTATATTTACAGGCTTAAATAGAACCAAAAACATCTATATACAAAATAATAACTAAACCTATATACATAATGAATAGATGAGAATTATACTGGAGGAGAATGCTTGATGTTCAATTAAAGTTACATGTGTTATATTGATTATATTAATTAATGATGTATGGTTGCCAACACAAATTTACATTAGTATAACTAAATGCTTGTTACCACTTAGCTGGTCCTTCATAGTGTTTCTAGCCGTCATATCTGGATTCCCTGTCTCTGCTCTCCTTCAGCGTCTAGTCCGTCCATCTCTCTCTCCGGCTGTCTTCGTCTTCCTCCCTCGACTCCCCCGCTTGAAGTCTCCTTAGCTGAGTCCCAAAGAGAAGTCTCCTCCTCTGAGTCCCAAAAGGAAGTGTCCAGTCCCAATTCTCTATTTCCCACCTTTTTTCATCCCCCTCTCTTTTGGTAGTCTTTTTCCTGATTGGCTGAATATTCTCAGCCTAAGGGATGACCACGCCCTCTCCCCCAGGCCAAGGTAAAGCAGCAGGTACAGATTTCCATATTTCTGGTGGAAGGTGTGAAAAGGTTTTTCGGGATTCTGTTTAAACACTCAGTTGTCGGTCTTGGTCGGTGGTTCTTAAAGGTTTTTATTACCACTTACAAAAGGTTGGGCTTGTTGGTCGTTACCCTCGCTCAGGTAGCGCCAGATGTTGGCACTTATGATATTTATTTATTTATACCTTTAAAATAATTAAATGAATACCACCGGCGGTCTTTACAATACATAGCATAGATAATTGGTATTTATTTATTCAATTTATCATCGTTGTCAAAGAAAAATGCCGCAATCTAAGTAATATTGGAAGAAAACACAGCTATATACAGAAATTGAAAAGAGATCAGAAATTAAAAACTGTTCTAATTAAGATTAAAATATATTTAAAGTTTCAGACCTTTGAGATCTTAACCGTGCCAAAGAATGTCAGTCTTATCGAGCAGCCGTCTTGCTTTCATAGAGATTTCAATCATTTATTACATTAATAAATAACGGTTTAATATTTCCGATTACTGTCTTTCAATATGTTTATCTCCTAAGTACCTTCAACAAATTCCCAAATTCAAATGCTTATCTATCCTCCATGTACTGTACAATCTCTTTGTTGACTAAACTGAAATGTTTACCTTATTTATAAAGATATTTTAGAACTGTTTTGATCAGCATAAAAAAAGTTTTATTGATTTTAATTTTAACGCATCAAATTCACTTTCAAAAAGTTCCTCTCCGTAAATCTCCTGGATACGACCTCCTTACATCTCAAATACTCCGACAAATTCCACCTAAAGCTGTTATATTTCTCACATACTTATACCATACCATCCTAAGAACTACGCACTTTCCTCTTTTTTAGAAACTTTCCACTATTATCTTATTTCCAAAACTGTATGACTGAGTTTTTATATTTTTAATTTACTTATCTTTAGGTTATTTTATTTTTTATTGTACATAGTTGTTTTATTATTATTTTACTTTTGTTAATTTTATGTTTTCTGTATATATGGTGTGAATTTGTAATTATTGTCCACTTGAAAGATTATTATATTTCTAAAAAAAAACAACGCATCAAACTAAATTTAAATTATTAAACTCTAATGAGGATTGAGAGATTAGCGTAGGAATCTCCTGGGACCAAGCTTTTCCCTCTAGATATGGAGAAAAAAGCCTTATTCGGTGAATTTCTGGCTGATATGTCTGTGCTATTTTACTTTTTAAACAAAATCGTCAGAAATATGAATCAAAATTTCTTTAATGGAATGAAATTCCTGACAATTTCGCTTAATTCGTTTTATTAAACAGTCGACTACTTATCCACCTCTCAAGCTATTTTACTTTACTTATCATTAAGTTTATTTTATTTTTAAGGATGAAAAAAATTGTCAGAATTTGCCGTTAATTTTTTTTTCTTTTTTTCAGACTGATTTTTTTCCCTATGTTTATTTATCAATCTAAACTGTTAGAAATTCTTTTATATTTATTAAACTCTATTTCTTTAATTTGTTAATTTTTATTTATATAGATAAGTTAGTTTTGTATACTTCTTATTGGTTGAATTGTTTTGCTTTATTTACAATAATTATTTAGTTTATTGTTTTTTCTTTTGACATAATTTCCTTTTTCATTTATTTATAACGCTTAAACATTTTTTTTAACCACATTTCAATGTTTATTTCACCTCTTTCTTTTCTTATACTTTATAATTATAATTTATTTTATTTTATTCTTTACTCTTATAATTTTATATGTATCCTTTTTCTGATGTAGTTGTACTTTTGTGACTCTGGCGATGACCCACATGTTTAGGTCAAAACTTAATTTTTAACTACAAATAATTGTTCTGATAATTGTTGTCATCTGATAATTGTTTTCATCCTTATAATTTCAATTGTATACATACCCATCACTAAATTATGTTATTTTTATGTATTATTTATAATTTTTATTTTCAATATTATTATTTTCTTCTATTTAATTATATTTACCTATATTTTTTGTAAATATGGTGTGAACCCTTTATCATAACGGAATGGTTTACTACTCAATAAAAAATTTTCAAGATAAAAAAATAAAACTTTTTTCCACCTTTTTAATTCTGCTTTAGAGTAATGTTTCCTAGATGTTTCTGTTTTCAACTTATGTAAAGAGGTGTATATTATAATGTAATTGAGGTTCTTTTTTTTCGTTCTGTTCTAATTATTTAATTTTTTTTTGCCCTAGTATAATTACTCAGTTTCATATCATATTCCTTCCTAAAGGAATGATGGATTAGTCGCTCGCGTGGGTGCCACGCCACCGTGACTGAATGATATCCCATTTAAAAGCTTTGCAGTAGGGAATACCGTAGCAACCTCAGTGGTCTCCTCGCTGTATAGCGTCAATATTATTATAGAGCCTGCCTTTGAAGTTTGGAATTGAGTTTCTTTAGTTATATTCAAACAGATATTGCTTCCAAATTGCCTGCTGGAAAATATACTCCAAACTGCTGTAGATAGTAGAGTTTTCAGTTAATATGATATAGTTCAGTCTGGATATTAATTCCTCAGTATTTGCTTTTTTTGCTTACTACTAAACTTCTCTTATATTTAAATATAAAACTCGTATTTTAAAAATATTTCATCATGAATAGCAAAGAGAAATCTTGTTTATGATAAAATAAAAACAAACTGAAAAAGAGCAATATAAAAGTTAAATTAAAAAAAAAAATACAAGTTCTTCAAATTTTTCTCAGCCTTTTATTGTTATAGCTTCCTTACCCTTTATCTTGTCAACGAAATTATCTTTATTTCAAGATCTCCGTTTTGACATTTGGAATAAAATCTATGGAGGAACCGTCTGTGAAGTATAACCTTTCCAATTAAGAACGCATAAAAAAGCTAAAGTGAACAGAATTTGTCAAAATTGTTGTGGGACCATCTAGGTATGAAATAGGGATGGTATATCGAAGGTCCAATATCGATATAAATAAATAACTAACGATATCATCTAAAGAAAGGACTTCGATTATCGATAGTCGATATTTTTAAACTATGAAAATTAATATAAATATTAATTCTCTGAATTAATTAGTAAAATTAATTTTTTAGTTCATGTCCATCTTCGCCATCCTCAGAATTTTTTTTCATAAATTTTCATTTAATCTACTATGCCTTCCAATTACTCATAAATTTGCATCCTGCATAGATTTCTTTGACTAGTCGTGACCTTGGTTTAAAAAGATGACTTTAATGAGTGAGAAGTGTTCCACGCGCGCTATTCAATTCTACTTATTAAATCGGCCATCGATAATCGTTATCGAAATATCGATGTTTTCTTTTACAATGCACTACATTCTATATGAAACAGGGAAGATGAGGATATTCTTCTAATGATCAGATTCATATATAATTCATTACAAAACGATAGTTTTAATTTTAAATTTTATATTAAAATATCGTAAAAAAGTCACCATCGATGATAAAATACAATCTTATCGAAATATCGATATCTTCTTCTACTACACACTAAATTCTATATGAACAGGTAAGAATGGAAAATATGAGCACAAACATTTTATAACCTTCCGTACGAGTACAACGCTTTCCTGTTTTCGGCATTGAGAAAGCAAATATTATAGGGTTATCTAATGTGAATAAGTCAATTTTTTAGGCGATGAAAATTAAACAATTTTTAGATAAAATTTAGAAAGTTATTTTGAAAATAAAAGATCGGATAGAAACTGAGTATAATGTTTTTAAAAAATATACCCATGCCTACTTTTGTTTCATCTTGATAAACCAAAATCTACAGTGTAAAGAATTGTAATAATTTATATAAATTGTTCTATGTTTTTATTTATAATTAAAGTAATATTTTCAAGATTAATTAATTTTCATATTTATAAATTAAACTTTAATAAAAAAAAAAAAATCTATTGAAAGTGGGGTGGTATGTGGAAGTTATGTGATGCATCCACCAATTTTTTCCAGTTATTGTTATAGTCCGTGATGTCAAATTACCCAGCTAAAAATTCATAAATATCTTCATCTCATCGTAAGATACAAATACATAATTTACGAAAATTCTGGGAATTGGGGAGTTTTCAATCTGGAGATCGGCAAACTTTGTCGATTTAGTTGGGCACTAAAAACTCATGAACACCCAATTGCATTCCACTTGAATCGTAAGATAACGTGATAAAAAAATATAGAAAAAAGGTGTCCTACAAAAATATTGGGCTATTGAAAGACCTGACACTCCCTCCCCCCGCCCCTCCTTACCACTATAAGTAACGAGCTTAATAGACCAAACAGTATATTTATGTAGGCTCCTTTTTTCAAATTTGTGATCATATAATCGTGCAATTTAAATGGAAAGAAAATTGGTATTTATGAGTTTTTGAAAACGCCCCAATTCTAAGAATTTTCGTAAATAAAATATTTGTAGATTACGATGAGATGAAACTTTTTACGAAGTTTTAGACGGATGATAATAATTCGATGAAAAGGGGTCTGTACCATGGACTATTATTAGATAGCTAATGGTTTGCTAATCGATCTACAGAATACAGCACTAGTCAGATAAGATCAGAATCTTTTTGTGCAGAAAGACCAATTACGCAGTCTTGATCCGTTACACCTTCCTTTAATCGACTTGCGATTATTTTATCTCCTATCGATTTTCTCCCCTACATATTTTACCTGGGGAGTAAAGTATTAGCGAAGTAAACAAAGAACCGCTTATCGATCTTCTGCTCCACGTTACCCACTTTCTTTGCCGCTGCCCCGTTTGAATATTTATCGAGTTGCCCTAAGAATATGCATGCAAATACCTTTTAAAATTATGCCCGGGGGAAGATGACGGAAGAGAGGATGCTTTCCATTTTGATGGAGGTCTCTTGCATAGGCGATTTATTCAATTGTGTTCTAGGTTGCGTTTGTTTGCCTCCCTATTCCACGTAGTACGAAGAGGAAAATGAAGAGTTTCTCTATTGACTTGAGGATTCTAAGTTTAGCACAACTGACAACTTGTTATTATTTACTGCTCTATGGTATGCTCACTGTTCCTTGTCTTCAACCGCATGCTAAATCGCTTTTCTGCTATTCATACACTTCTTTTTTTTTTTTTTAAGTCTTTCTTCGAATTTTCGATAGATTATTTACGAATCTGTATTATTTTGGCTTATGCTCATGAATAAAAAACAAATAAATCAATATCTTGATATCCTTCAAACGAATGCAAAGGAACATATTGTGCACTCGTTTATTATTGAAGAATTTGGTGTTATCAACGTCAATCAAAAGTTCAAGGAACTTTGATATCTATCCTTTGGCCAATTTTAAATATTAATTATTTATAATTTTAAATACCCCGTTGATTATTATTTATCAACTGGTGGCGTACTCCCTGTCAACCTAACTAACCCCCATTTTACAAATTATACAACTGTTCATTTAATTGTATTACTCATTGCTCAAATTTTATAACTGTAATTTACATGTATTCTATAATTCAGATTGCATTATTTTTTATCAACATAAAATAAATGCAACAAAACCCTAATCCGGAAAAATTATTAATTCATTTAAAAAAATATATTGTACTTCGCGCCTTATACATAATTATTCTTATTGCCAATTCGAAACCTTATTAATGGAACGATAATTCTGGAATTAAGAAATATAGTGTCTTCGTATGGTCGGTCACGCTTTGTATATGTAAAATAGGACCCGGTCACTAAAAAAATCGTTGTCTAATAGAGAGATTACATATTACAAATGACTTTTTAAGTTAAAAATGAATTAAGAAATTCGGATTATTTCTTAAAAAATAATTGATTACATAATATCAATTACTGAGAGATTAACCAAAAAAAATTGCATATCACAAATGTTTGTATTACCTGCCTTCCGATGGGCTTTCATAGGTTTTACGGCTATATTATTGATTTTTCTAAATATCTCTAGCAATGTAAATGATTAAACAATTATTATAATCTAAAAGAAATTAGTCGAAGGGTGGCACAGTGGGACGAGAAACAGCTAACTTGCGACATTAACTTAAATTCAAAATTTTTATGAGTGCACCATAGTATGTTAAAGTGATTCCAAACGGTTTAATGGAAACCTTTTAATGAAACTCTTCAAAAGTCCCGCATTTCAATTTATATGGCGCAGAATCATAAAATTATTATAATGAATTACGAGGATTTAAATTTTTTATTAAATATAAATTTTTTCTGACTGTCTTGATTTATCACATATTCAACTATAAACGCTTATTATTAATTATTACGTTTGTATTTTGAATAATTCTATGATTTTCTCAAGTGAAAAAAAAATCTTTTGTGGAACTTGCTCGGAAAGCTAATATCGTCTTAGTAGAATTAATTAAATAAGCTTTCCAGCTTCACAGGGTTCACCATTAAAGGGGAAATTAGAAGTTCTGGAATGTTAAAGGAGGGGTGGATTTCTGCCTGGAGAATAGTTGTTCCATTCATTAGCATTTCAATATTAATTGCTTCCTAATTGTTATTACTATATGTAATTTTTAAAACAATATAATTTAAAATTATGCAGCATGTTTGTGTTTGCTACCTAATTGTAATTATCATATGCAATTTTTAAAACAATATAGCTTAAATACAGTATGTCTATGTTTGTTATGACTTCTATCACTACAAAAAAAAAAATAGAAATTAAAAACATGATTAATAACAGGTATTTTTTAATTTTTGATAGCAGTATTATGGACCAATGTAAAATAATAAAATTCGTTATAGTGTGTATGGATTTTTTTGGTTAAATACAAAATTATTTTATGAAGAGGATGGTTGGGGTGATCAGTCAGAAATAAAAAGGCAAAAGTAAATAATAATATTTATTTTAAAATTTGCCAACGTTTCCACCTGAAGTTCAGGCCTTCATCAGAGCTGTTCCAAGAGATTGCTGGAATAGAGTATTCTGAATAATTCACTCATGCACTCTATTCCAGCAATCTCTTGGAACAGCCCTGATGAAGGCCTGAACTTCAGGTCGAAACGTCGGCAAATGTTAAAATAAATATTATTATTTCATATTATCTTATTTTTATTTCTGACTGATCATCCCAACCATCCTTCTCATCATTATTCACGACAGTCAACCATCAACCCGCAATTAAAAATTATTTTATGTAATTTATTCGTATTGTTTAATTAATAAAATTTTGTTATTTTAAAAATTTTGAAGATACAAAACGACAAAATATCATAACCCTAGTTTAGCCTATATGAACTTGGTACTCACTTTGGAAAATAAGATTAAATCATGAAACGTCACAACATGTAACATTTACACATCGACACGTGCTCACCAGTTTATATAGAACCAAATTCCTCAGACAAACGCAGTACTTTACCTTTGACTAATATTCGACAAAAGGAAGGCCACACGTCAAAATGAAACGACAGACTTTAAACAAGCGACTGAAAATACTGTACTCTTTTCTAAATCGGAATTGAAAGTTCAACAAGAACTATATACATGTACTTACCTATTCAAATCCATCTGGACATACGCTTCTCAGATTTCCGGTTCGGCAAAAAAGATGCACTTACTAAATATTCAATCATTTCAATCCAAAATTTTATGACTTATGATAGGAGCTCCCTGGTATGTAAACAACAAAACTTTACTTAACGACTTATGACAGGCAAATATCGATTAGTAGCTATTCCCGTTTTCTATTCTCTATAGTCTCGTTTTCTATTCTCTCGTTTTCATCTCAAACTACACGGGCACAACGATTGACTTATAAACGACATGACCACGGCTGATATGCCCATCAGAGGAAAACTAAAAAGGAGGCGGATGAGAGTTCTCCTCACCTAAATCGAGGAAGTAAACAATGACCAGGAAGAGAAGCTGCTGGGTGATATCCTTCCTCATGCCTATAATGCCAATTATTATTTTCACAGGTCGTAAAACTATGACTTCCTGTCCTACAGTATAATTTAATAATACTCCACTTATCCCTGTTAAACAAATACGATATCTTGGACTCCACCTGGACAAACCTCTCACTAGGGATACTCATACAAGACTGAAACTGCTCAACGTTTTCGCTTACTCCAACACTTAGTAGTCGAACGCTCTAAACTTTCACTTAATTACAAAAGACTAATATACATGATTATACTAAAACGTATCCAATCCTTTGTGACAGATAAAATAATCCATAAAGAACTTAATGTTCTATATGTTTCAGATTTTGGCCCAATCCAGATACTTATCCTTCCATAATAAACTTCATAACCATCCGAATCCTCTCTTTTATAACCTTGCTCCCTTTTCGATTCATGATAAACCTCCGAGGCATCTGAAAAGGAGATGGTCTCGTGATCTCCTTATATAGACATATTATTAGAGTGCTACATGTGAGTAGTTTCTCAACAAGCGTTTTCAAGTGATTATATTCTTTTGTACACATTTACTTGATGTATTTATATTGTAATACAGTTGTAAATATCTTGAATAAATAATTTAAAAAAAAAATTATTTTCACAATAAGTCGGCCAATTATCAATGCCATAACAGGTGTGGATAGATATTTGGAGTTTAATATCTAATGGTATAGAAAAAAATAAATGGTATAGAATTAGTTTACATTTCAGAAGTTTTTTTGAATAACACTTAAATGTATTCCAATTATTAACTATGTTTGATTAAATGTGTAATACCAATAATGGAATATTCTTATTATAGGTTGATTAAGGAATTAGTATGAGTAAACGATTTAAAAAAGCACTTTAACAGATTATTGGTACATCTTAAAGAAATATTTAGCGGCTCTAAAATGTGGAAAAGCTTCCTGCAGTATAAACCTCCTATCTCTAATTTATGGCAACATTTTCAGCTTTAGGGCTTATAAACATCAACTCCTTTAACACCATCAGACCAAGAGTTAAAAATACCCTAAAAAGATCACTTACTCCGAATTTGATGACTAGTTTCAAATGAAAACTCGCGTTACCCTAAATCACTAGAAAGTAATTGATTTTAATTATTAATACGGGATGAAATTAAAATATTTGCTAAGGTCATATTTAGGTATTCTATAACAATATAATTCAAAAAATTAACTTTGCTATGTATTTTAAGCAGTATCATACTAAATAAATCAATTTTAATAATGGTTTAATTTCTTAAACTATTTTTTTTTTTTTACTGTACTATTTTATTTATTGAAAAATATTACAATCTGTCTCAAGGACTATTAAGATGGATTTAGGAGATGAAAGGGGTTGTATGCTATTCCGTCATAATCTAATGTATGACATGCAATAAATTTGATTGCTAATTTATTTTTTTTTTTAAATCTATAAATTTCTAGATAAATAACTTTGTTCTGGAACAAAGTCCCTTTAGAGTAACAAATTCTACATTTGTTTCTCAGGGTGATTTGACATCTGGAAAGCCTTTAATTTATATAAAGCATAGTGCCGTTTATATTTACAGTAATATTTCTTCTATATTATAAATTATAGAAATTTACAACGACAAAACATATCTGCTAATTGTCAAATTCATGACAGGTCTGGATTCAAATTTGAAGAGAAAAAAATGCACAAAAAATTATCATATTTTATTTTTGTACCACTGCAATTCATATAGTTGTAAATAGCATCAAAACTTTCATCTCCAAAATTTTAAAATGATTTTTAAAAAGTCCTGTAGTTTTTAATCTAATCGAAATGTCAAACGATAGGGAAAAGTACTTAAATTTTTAATTGTTACTTAATAACAAATTTGTTTTCTTTAAATTAATTTTATATATAATTTTTTATAGAGCTTTAAAATATGAAAAACCCATTTCATTACGGTTCAAAAACATGTCTAATCAATAGGATCAGCTTCATCTTCATTTTTATTGGCTACGTAATAACATACACACACACGCACACATATAAAATCTGTACCACTAAAACCCTTGAAGGGTCTTGGATTCAGTACTATGTTGAGAAGTACTGTTTCTTGGACCTATATATATGTATCATATAGATTTAGACCAAATTGAACCAAGGAAAAATACAAAGCTTCCTTTACTTCAGTAGTGAGAAAGCAAATTTTGATTAAGAATTTAAGGATGATACTGCCATTCAAAAAAAAAAAAAATAATGAATATACACGCATACACTTCACTCAGATTCAAATTATATTTAACAATTTAAAGAAACTGCTATAAAAACACTTGAAATAAATCCCATGAAGTTTAAAAACTAATATGAACTCACAATGTCCTATATTATAGCCAAGCTCATCATTCTTAAACGAAAATTAAGGGTGGAATTTAATCAGAATCGTGTGAGACCATCATTGTACTAAACCTCAGAATTCCTAAATAAATCATAAAAATTGTTTAAGCGGTATTATGTGGTTGATACACTTCATGGAGAAGTGTACATTTCTTTGAATATTTCAAAGAAAAAATTATAAAAGAAAAGAAACTTTATTTGCAAATATCTCAAAAAGTATGCTATTTTTGTTGACTGAACCCATGATTATTTGAAAGATTACTAAATTTTCTACAAAACAAAAATACCGAAATTGGAATATTATTAACAGATATAGGATATAGTAATGTACATATATTTTGATTTTTTATTATGAATGAACTAATATAGTTTGACTGAGAAAGAGTATTATATCCTATGTATGAGCTATGTATTATATCCTTTATCTCATAATACATAGCATTAACTTATTCCTATATTATATTGTAAATTGTTTACTGACCAATACACTATGCGAATTATTCGTACGGGCCAACTAGTTAATTAATGATTTAATACAACTTGGGCTAATTCTGCTATAAAAAAAAACTGTTATATGTTGTAGATTTTATTTGGATTTTTTCATATTTAAAAAAAAAATATTAACATGTTTACACGGGAATTTATTTTATCTTGAAGAACTCTGTTACCAACCTTGTGTCGTGTTAAAGGCAAGACGTCATAAGACTAACATAGCAGCTTTTGATGACTACTCAAGCTAAAGACGAAGAAGTCCATATTCTCTCTTGGGGCACCTCCGAAATAGTCTCACATATGATTGGCTCTTTTTCAAAAGTAGACACATGTCTCATCAAGTCATTGAGCAAGTGAACTATAAGAAAATGAACAGATGGTGAAGATGTAGGGGAAAATGGCGGCCGTTCTATTGTCGTCGGATGAGAAGAGACGGATCAAAGGTTGCTCATTACCTAGTGCCTCCTAGCAGTGCTTCTTTATGTCTGCCCCAATTAGCCTCCTTAGCGTCCTTCTACAAAACTACACCCCTCCCTCTTAAAAAAAAAAAAAAAAAAAAAAGAATTTCCTTAAAAATACCTCCTTTCCCTCTTGATGTTTACGTCGACTGGATAAATGCTGTGTAAAGAATATGCTATCTATAGTGCTAATATTTTTTTCTGTATCCCTTGAAAATAATAGACCGATATTACATTTCTAATAAGATAAAAAATTATTGAATTTGCAGATAACACAGCTGTCCTTGGAACTAGGGATGGGATATCGAAGGCCCAATATAGATATTGTCATCAATGTTAATATCGGCCTATAACTATCGATGCCAACAAAATATTGAACTTGAAGTATTGATAGTCCAGATTTTCATTGATATTATAAATATTTTTGAAAAATGAATATCAGAATAAATACTGATTCTCTATCACATAGGCTCATCAAAAAATATGTTATTTTCCTCTTTAAATTAATTAATGAAGATATCAGTTCTTCTAGCCTCCTAAGTAAAATTAATTTTCTGGTTCTTGTTTATCTTCCTCATCCTCAGATTTTTCCAGAAATTTCTATTCAACTAATACTTAGTGATGGCTATCGATAATCGATATCGAAATATCGATGTTTTCTTTCGCAATGTACTACATTCTATATGAAACAGACAAGATGAGTATATTTTCTCTTCTAACGACCAGATTCATATATAATTCATTATAAAACGATAGTTTTAATTATAATTTTTATACTAAAATATCGTAAAAAAGATACCATTGATGGTAACACATAAAATATAGGTATTAAAATATCGATAATATTGACTATATTAATATTTTTCCCTATCCTAGTGTTTTTATTTCTGATGTCTTTTATCTGCTGTCGGCAACAAGAGAAATAAAATGAATTGTTTAGGTTTGCTCTAATGTCCTTGTTAGTTAGGTTTAGAATTGTGTTTCCCACAGTTTGTGAAATGTCTAAACGCATATTAATAAGAAAAGCTAAATAAATAAACATCAAAGTTAATGAAGAACAAAACAATATAGTAAGCCCTGGTGAGGGTTCTCATTAGATAACTATTTTTTTCCAAATGCATTCGACGTACAAGCATCATAAACAATACATGAGTATTCGTATACACTTAGTCCTGTTATGAATATTGTTACAAGAAAATATGTACAGATTTCAAAAGAAAATTAATTTTTTCAAAATTTGATTAGAAAATAAAATGAATATCTATAGAGAGTAATAATAATAAAAAATAACAAAAAAAGGAATTACTCAAAAAGTCCCCGTTTTGCCTTAACACAAGCATTTAAAAAACGTGGCAATTTATCAATAGCAGCACGCAACACTTCTTCAGGTAAGCGCTCAACTGCTCGGACCAGAGATTGTTCGAGGCTTTCTTCTAAGTTAGAGTGTGTTCTGTGGCATGCCATCCTTTCGGATTTCGGACCAAAGCCGATAATCCAGTGGATTGAGATGAGGGCTTCCTGAGGGCCAATACGAGGCAGAGATGAACTCTGGAATGTTCTTTTGCAGGCACTGCTGTGTTGACCTGGCCTTGTGAGCTGGAGCGAAATCCTGCTGGAGAGCCCAATGACTTCCAGCAAACAGAGTATCATTTAGAGGCTTGACAACAGATTCTAAAATATCGTCCTGTAGTTTTTAGTGGCTGTTTTAACTGATTTTTCATAACAATGGAGCTTTGTGGTGACATCAAAGCAAACTTCCCACCAAACCATCACTGAGGAAGGGTCATGTCTCTTTCCACTCTTCCAATGACTTCCTGGGATTCATTGGCGATTAAATTTTTCTTCAATTGTAAAAATTTTCATCGGTAAACAAAGTCTTTCGATGAAGACCATTGGTATAACGGCAAGGCCTATAATATTTTTTAGGGAAGTGGTTAGCCTTCGTCCTGCCATTCTTCAAAATGCACCCATCCTAAGGTCACTTTTTATTATACCAGACATTGATCAGACAGAGATCGATCAACTGTCGTGACAGTAATATTGCAGAACATGACACAATATAAATTATGAAGATCAGCATCCTAATAGGAGGTATTGAAAAATCTAGTATCAGAATAATAATATACAGTAACAACTAAATGAAACTGGTCAGACAATCAAGATCTTACGGTATGAAGGTTAAGATTCGCTGTATATACATATAACTCGAAGCAACGCATTAGAAAGTCATTATACAACAATTAATGCAAAAGAGAAAAAGAGATCACAAGTAAGAAAAAAAATATAGTTGAATAGATCGAATCAACGACTATGTTGTAGAGCTGCTTGCAGATAAATGGAAAGATTGAAAATGACTGGAATGAAATAACCCAATATATGCAAAGATAGAGAAAGCTGTTTAAAGTAGGGAATGAATCTAAAAGGTCTATAATGCCAATATAAGATAAATATCTCATTAGTTAATTATTATTAATATAATTAATGTGTAGTTAATTATTATAATTTTTCTCTTTGTTGTAATATTACTTTGTCGCCATGTAAACGAGAGATATGTTACAGTATGGATAGGTTCAAGAAATAAGCCTTACTCCTGACAGCAACATGCCTTTGATATTTTCTTGGCGCTCCACAAGATCTACTGGCGCCTAACTTGTATATATTCTTATTTCTTAAGTCATCAGACCTGAAATATATTTTAGTTATACTGTCTAAAACTATTTTCGGATGCTATAAGATTTATAAAGGAAGAGCGAAAAGTAATTTTACAGCCCACCTTTCCTTAATTCCTGAATGGATTTGGCATCTCATGCCATTATTCTTGCCACTTTCCTTGTTCAAACAGCGCGATTCAATGAATTCGTTGGCCCTTCTCCAATAATAACGCTTGAGGTATCGCAGCTTGGAATTTTTTCAGAGATTAATTTACCATTTTATATTTTGTTAAAAAAAAAAAATCATGCTATAATCACTATTATTTTTCTTTTAGTCGTGGAATTATTGGCGTTAAATATTCGACGACGTGTCTCTACAAGTTATTTAGAACTATTTTTGAATGTTTGATAAATAAATAGGTTTACGGTTTCGAATTCTTGTTTAGTCTGTGTGCCAGCGGAGAATGGATGGCCCCGAAATCAATTTTTAAATCAGTGCCCCTAAAATAATAAAGTCACAGTCACTTACTGTATTTATAATATGTAGTTGTTTTCTATATGTAGAACTGAGGAGTACATGATTAATTAACTTTATATTAATTGTTTTGGGAGTTTCTAATACTAACTATAGTAACTGGTTGTATTACATCAAATACTGAATTTTATAGATGATATTAATAAATTGGTATAGAAACCAAATTATTTTTATTATACCTACGTTTAATTTGTTCTTGGAACGATCAACTAATGGAAAAGGTTTTCATGAATATCAGTTATCAGAGGTGCCCATTCCACTTCTTCCCTCATGGTCAATGGCGTATGAACTCCACTTTCCAAAAATTGTATTGCTTTCCTCTACTTCAAACGAGTGCAGACAAAAGTAAGATTAGGAAAATTGTCAAGTAGTCAAGTACAATTAAACTTCCACTTTGTTCCCTTGTCTGAAAATTTTCACTTCGAAAATTCATAACGCGATCGAAATGTGACCCCTTAAAAATTCAACACCCCTCAAAAAATGTGCGGCCCTCAAAAGTATTGATGCCACAGCTTGCGGCATGAAATCCTGGGCACATCAAATTACTCTTTCTAGGCCGACATTTGTGCCAGGAAGTATCTGATTGGACTTAAATCAGGCTCCTCTGGTAGGTGAATCCTCTATTTAAGGTCACCAAATTTCAAGAGATTGGTTGTGCTTCAGTATCAATCCACAGCTATGATTGACTTCAGTGACAGATTCAGTATTTTTTTTCATTTGTTTACTTAGACTCTATCCCTAATAATGTAGATATTAAATGGTACATGGTAACATCTAAGTAAATTTTAATTGTACATCACATTGTTCATTAAATCGTTGATACAGATATTACAAATAAATTAATATTACGTTCCACAATGGAATTGAAAAATGTCAATCACTTCCAAGTTACCTTAGTCATTTTCCAAAATATTTCTATTAAAAACAAACCAGAATAATTTCTTCCCTCCCCTACTCCCCCCACAAAAAAAAAAAAAAATAAATAAATAAAAAAAATACGGCTCGTCATTTGTTCACACTGGTAGTAGTGCTTTAGTGACCAAATATTGTATATAGGCTTGTTACTGATATGATAAAGAGAAACAAAACAGGAATAGAGTGGAAGAGTAAGGAATGGGAACGACTTTTGCTAAGTTTGTCATTAAATATTACATATTACACTGCAAAACATTTATCCACTACATTTATTTTTTAATACTTTCGTGAAAACCCTCACTGATCAGCTTAATGAATTGTAAAGATACAGAAGAAGGCAGAGAACGAGAAATTTATCTATTTCTTATTTTGAAAATTGAGTGGTTAAAAAAACCAGATACAGAAACCAACGAGCTTATATGAAACGCGACTCCATAAAAATACAAGAAATATTTTTAAATAAAGTGGAAAAGAAATGATTAAGATACATCCTTAAATAAAAATTAATATATACTGAAAAGTAGATGAAGAATTATTCATGCGAAAAACAAAATATATACTTCTTAAGGATGTATGATAAAAACCTTTGGATATGTGAGTACCTAAATACTTTCCTGATTTAATTATCAAATTTAAGTTTTATGAAAGTAATTAATTCTGTTTTTGTCTGTAACTTTTGAGATAGCTGAGGCCTAAACTAGCGGAAGGGATGTGTACTCAGAGATGGGTAGAGAAGACGACGAACCGAGAGATCTATTACCTGAGGGAATCGGAACTAACTGCGGAATAAGAATGAGCTCTCATGTTCCCCGAGGGTTCGTCAACTTGCCTCAGTCTCTTTAGCCTCTGCTAACTATAACCTCATCTCTCCAAGTTAGCTTCTTCTCCATTTTAACGAGTCACTTTTGCTAAAATCCTCCCTTTCCTCCAGTTTCTTCCAAGATGATAAAATATATTTCATTTTTTCAGGCATTTTAGAATTCACTCTTTCATTTCGTTATTTTAAACATGCAGAAGATATCAAGATAAGTTTCCATTTATTTAATAAAACTGAAAATTTACTGTGGTATGAAATCTTAAAAAGTAGTTTGTTGCTCTTACATATCTTGAAAACGAAAAATCAATTTGTACAGGTTTTTTATTTTTTGAATGAAACAAATGTTAGTTCAATCAGATGTGGCTAGACCACGAATGGAGAGTTATTTGGAAGAAATTATGTCACAGAAATCTGAGTTTGATAAAAGTTAAATTTTATGATTTTTTAATCAAGAAAGGGAAAAATTACTGCTGGATAAAATCCTTTTTCATGGCTGACATGTAATTATCTCCACCGCTTCCAACTGACCGTTTGCTGATTGCCAATAAATTTTTGACAGATGCGAATTAATACATGAGGGCAATAAAAACATTATTTATTTAAATATTTGGTCTCTGGTTATCTTAGTTTTGGAAAGCTTTGATCTGTTGATTTTGATGTACATTTTTAGAACTAAAAAACGCATATTTGTTGTATTTTTGCGTGGGTCTGTATTGAGCTTCAGCGGTTGGTTGCAAGTAGGAGAACTAACTAATTGAGTACTTGCATGAATTGTAAATCTTTATTTGTTTATGAAGTTTGGTTAGATGCTAAAAGTACTCAATGGTTTGGACGCACACTTACAAAGTTAATTAAAGAAAAGTGGCGGGGACGGAGTTCTGTCACAAGGATAGAGACACGACTAGGTCATAACCTGGCTGGTTCATACGGATGAGTATACTATACATGTTTCGTTTGTTCGCTCTGTCTCTGACTCTGTCGTCTAGAAATAAAAATATTTAGCTTATACCGTTTAAAATTAGCTAGCTCAGGGGCATTTGATCAGTATCGTCTTTAACAGGATACATAACACTGCAATCAAATCAGACCACACTCCCAGTCCCCACCAACTCAATATTATACTCAATATAATAATTAATATTATTTCAAATTTTTAGTTAAATAAATTTTTTTTTCTGGATAAAGGCCACGCGTGTATATCGAGTATATTCATTTCATTGGACTCAATGGACCTTCATCTCATTCATTGTTCTCCTGAATTTATCTCTATTTTAGGTATTCATCTTCTTTCTTGCCAAGTCTTAATCTTTTCAGGGTATCCTCCGATGTTCTTCCGTCCCATCACTTTGTCAAACAACTGTTTGTTTATCCTGTCTTTACTCAGTCTCTTCATATGACTAAAGAATCTCAATTACTTTACTATCTTCCTCTCTATTTTCAGTATCTTTTTGGTATTGGTTTACTGATGGATTTATGGTATCCAAGGTATACAATGGATTTATTCCATTATTTTCAGAGAGAAGCACTCTATTTATTTTCATATAAAAGACTGCTGCCCAAATATTATATTAGGCTGCTAGATACACAGCATGGATCGCTATGGACAATCAATAATGATATCTAATGTTAATCTAGGTTTATCTATTGTTTCATAATGTCTTGTATTATCTTTTCTGGAAAGGTTCTTCTTGTTATATAGGTTTTCAATTAGATATCTATATCCTTTTAACTT